TTCAGTCTCACCTGAATGCCCAGTTACCACTATTTAAGAATAGGTGAAAAGTGATGATGGCTGCCTGTGTACTGGTACAGGTGTGACATTTTCACCCACTACTTCTTCCTGGAACCAGATAAATCAGCATCCAATATTAATTACAAAACGGTGGGTGCTCAAACTTTTGATCAGCAATAAGGAGTTTTTTGTTTTGTTTTATCCTCACCCGAGGACATTTTTCCATTTTTTGTTCAGATAGAGCAGGAGGGAGAGAGAGAGAGAGAAACATCTATGTGAAAGGACACATCGAGTGGCTGCCACCCACGCAACCCAACTAGGGCCGGGGACAAACTGCAGCCGAGGTACATGCCCTTAGCGGGAACCAAACCTGGGTCTCTCTGGACCGCAGGCCAACGCTCTAACCGCTGAACCAAACCAGCCAGGGCAGCAATAAGGAGTTTTAAGAAAAGTAAAGCAAAAATAATCTCCCTGAGCCAAATGGATACGATATGGTGCTTTCCTTACTTTCTGTACTAATTACTGGTAGGTTAAAAAAAATGCAGTATGCTTATAAAAATCAGGCTGCTTCCATAAAGCCAGTGCTTACTAAATGTTAGCATATCTAAGGGAGGAGATCATTGCCATTTTAAAGTAATACAGTTAAAATTTCCAAAAACTGCCTATGAGAAATAACACTTCTTAAACAAGTTAGGTAAAACAATTACCAAAAATGTATTGTAATCTCAACCCCATCTTTGGAGTAGTGCTTAGAAAGTCCAATCAAAAAAAATAAATAAATACGCAGCAAATTTTTGTTTTATTTTCACCAAGTTTATCCTTGTTAGAGCACAAAAAACTCCTAGTTTAGGACTTCAGTTTAAAAACACAAACATGCAGAGTGCTATTCCTCAATGTGGCCGTAGAAAATTTCATTTGAAGGAAACACAATGATTAACATTAGACAAATCTGTAGTAAATATACTCACTATAACAACTATAATTTAGTCCAAAAGGAGTGAGCCAAAGGTCTAATAGTAAATGGAGTTGGAATGGAAAAGCTGCTAATCTGTGTGTTTTATTTTCAGTGAAGGATGTATAACGCATTCTTTAGATTACCCACATTAAATATGCTTTAGAAACAAAATTCTACTTGATATTTTGACAAACCTACCCTACATTCCTTAGGTTAATGTCTGTAAGTGTTTTTTTGTTTGTTTTGTTTTTATTTTTGTTTTTACCTTACTAATCATTGTACTGCTACAGCTAAATCAACTAAATATCAGTTTATGTAGTGTTGCTCAAAAGATCTACAAACAGCAGGGTCTATGCTTACTAAAAAGGAGCTTCTCAAAATAAAGGAAGAAAGCAATAATGTTCCAAATGAATGTCACTGGGCAAAATATATATGGTGAATACCACAGTTAGACAGAATATAAGGTGCCCACTGGTTTATCTTAAACTTTTAGCTTCTACATAATGTCAGATGTTAAAATTGGTGTAAAGGATAATTTTTTTTTTATTCTCACCCAAGGACATTTTTTGCATTTATCTTTAGATAGAGTGGGAGGGAAAGAACGGGGAAGAGAGAGAGAGAAACATCGACATGAGAGAGACCCATTGACTGGTGGCCACCCACACAACCCCAACCGGGGCCAGGGACAAACTGCAACCAAGGTACATGCCCTTAGCGGGAACCGAACCCGAGACTCTCTGGTCCACAGGCCGACGCTCTGACCGCTGAGCCAAACTGGCCAGGCCAAGGATAACTGCTTTTAGGAAGGTAAAAATCCATGTACAAAGTAAAACAGCAAGATCTGTAGTGACTTTCTGTAGAAGGATCTCTTCTCTGGCAGTGACATCCTTTAGTACATCTCAGGATAGACTAAATTGAAACAGAGTATTTTGATACAGTAGCAATCCTTTCATATACTCTTCCTGAATACTATAAAAAAGTTAAAAAATACATAAATATTCCTTGTACCATGCACTGTGCACCAGTTTGGGGATGACTGATGAGGTCATGGTTACTATTTTAACAGTTAAACATTGCACCTCAAAAGTCCTGCCATCTATACACAGTGAAAGGACAGTGGTGAGGGCTCTAGAGAGATGGCAAATTGCCTCTAAAGGAAAAAGTTTGTGATGAAGTGTCTCCAAATTAGGAGAGGAGGATATGGTAGGGGAGGTAGGTAGGGTAAAAGAATTTTAAAATAATACTGCTTAGGAGTGTATGTTTAAAGATAACTACTATACCTTACTATTCCTTTATCCTAATCTTCAATAACTGCCATGTTCATGCAAAATAAAAGTTCTACTTTATAGGAAGAGGAGCAGTCTGTTAGGAAAAGCATATTCTTAAACAGGAAAAGATATGAAGACATCTCTCTTATAAGTGATATTTTACTTGGTAAGTCTTTTGGCTACATCACTATATGCTATTTCAACCTCCTTATCGCTGGGACAGGTATTAGTGAACTCATCCCTGCTATAAACATTAGTTAAGTATCTCCAGATGCCAGTCATTCTTTTTGGAATATCAAAGTTGCGATATTTTTTGGCTACCACCTTGACAATGTGCAGTTTGGGCAGCAGGTTGCAATCAACCAATGTCATTTCATTGCCATCCAGAAATGTACGTGTGGAAAGCTTAATGTCCTCCATACTATTCTCATCAATTTTATCAGGGAGGGGAGAATGCAGATATTCATCCAGTTTCTGCAGTGTCTTCAAGAGACCCCTCTCCAATGCTTCATAGCCTCTGGCCTTAAATTCTTAATATATGCAGAGAACTTGGCAAAGATGTCCGTTCCAGTAGTATTTGATTCTGGATGTTTTGGTGGAAGCTTGAAGTACTTCGGAAGGCATAAGACTTCTTCAAGAAATTCTTCAATCTCATTTTGACTTCATTGTTGAAAGTTATAAATGGTGGGTGGGCCCCGGGAGCCAAGTTCTGCAGGTCTACAGGCTTCCTTTTCAGGTCAACAGTTGTGACACTAAATACGAAGCCTTTGAGCCACAGAATCATGAGGAGCCTCTGGGAAAAGGGGCAGTTTCCTATGCTTTCACCATCCCTGCCAGCCTTCAGGAAGAGCTCAGTGATGGGCTCTTTGCCTTCCTCCTTCAGCCCCTTCAGCAGCATCGACAACCCCATGGCCTGCTCGACTAGACTCCGGGGACATTGGTAGCCTCGGCTGCCCTGCTCCGGAGGGGGTCTGGTGTGGGCTCACACCGCGCTGCGCCTTCCCAGCATCGAGCTCGCCTCAGCCTCAGCTCCTCAGCACCACCCCACGCCTCGAGCGCGACTCTGGGGTGGCCGCAGCCCCCATATTTTTTTTAATTATAAGAGCATCTACAGATACCTAGGTCTGTCTAACTTCAAACATAATGGTAAAAGACTGAATGCTTTTTCCTTAAATAAAGCAACAATGTCATCCATACCACTCTTATTCAGATTAGAGAACCAATAGGAGATAACCCAGGCCAATTTATAAAATCTAAGTTTATGTTCTCCTTGACCCACTTCCAATGCCAATATCTCTATTATTTAGAGTTCAGTTGGGAAAGCAGAGCCACTATGAGCAATGTTAACAAGGGAATTATTATAAGGAGTGTATCTTATCACATTGTGGGAACCAGTGAAGAAATTCTCTCTACATCCTTCTTCTTGTTTTCTTTTTTGTTGTTGTTTTACCTTCCAGGAAAGCAGGGTGACATATGAAAAGATCACATGGTTAGAATCAAACAGATATCTTTCTGACACCTAGTTCTGATATTCATTGGCTATGAAATCTTGTCAAGTGACTCAAATTCTGTGAGCCTCAGTTTCCTCATGGATAAAATGGAAACAACAGCACTTCTGAGAGCTGATGTGAGGATGAGTGAGACAAAGCACATACCTGTATTATGCTGTTGATTGTAATACTTCATGGATTGCAAGGTGCACAATATTTCACATTTTAGCCTCTTTACAACAGGACTAAATCCTGTGATCAATGGCATGTTACTCTCTAATTGAGAACACTTTTGTCCTTTCTCAGTGCATATAAAATAGTAAGAGCCCAGAGTAACATCTCAAATAATGGCAAGTGCAGATATCATTTCATTAACAAACCACATGTGATTCTCAGTACACAAGTTGAAAACCTCAACACCCCCTAGAGAACACAAGTGTTCTCCTTTATACTTTACATCCTTTCTCCATTCATTGTCCTACCCCTTCATTCCCCACCCCTTAGTATTCAGATTAGTGGAACGGAAAAATACGAGTTTTAGAATCCGGCATATTAACATTTCAGCCTTAACTGCTATGTGACATTCTGAGCATCAGTTGAGTGCTCCATGGTTATGTATAATAATAATTACCCAAAAGGATGTTAAAAACATTAAGTGAGATGATGCCCGTAAAGCCCTATCAGTGTCAAACATATTATAGGTAGTCAATGTCTAATCTACTGATTTTCCTTGGAGAAAGGGCTGTTCTTCTAGATGGAGAAGTGGGAAAAATGCTGGCCCTCGGGCCAAATCTGCACATCATCTGTTTTTGCAAATAAAGTTTTACTGGAACACAGTCACACCCACTTGTTTACATCTTGTCTACGTCTGCTTTTGTGCTCTGAAAGCAGAGCTGGACAGCTGCGACAGAGACAGTATGCCTCACGAAGCTGAAAACATTAATCATCCTGCTATTTACAGAAAAAGTTTGCTGATCCGTTCTAGATTCCTACAGCATCTAAAAATACCTGCCCCCTCCCCAATTTGTGGTACTGTTATGCCTCTAGAGAACTCCATTATATGAGAAGGGTGCATTCCTCATCCTAGAAGCCAGGACCCCGGGGCTCTGGCCACAGCGTCAACATCAGCAGAGCAAAGAGGAGAGCTGTGAGAATTTCTGATGAGGAAGATAAGCCAGGCCAGAGTGAATGACAAAAATTTGGTCTCTGTGGTTTCCAGCCCCCCACTTCTACTAGTGGGGTGATAAAAGCAGGGACAAGAGAGGGGAGTGGCAGAAGAAGCTTACCATGGGCAGCCTCGCCGGGAGAATGCAGGCCCTGCTCCTTTGGTTGGTCTTTCTCTTGCCTCCCGAAGCTGGAGCTGGTGAGTCTAGCCTGTAAGTCCCTGTCCTCTGAGTCCTCAGTTCCTATTCCAAACTGACCTGAGTTGAAGAAGGCCCTCAGATGAGAATGCAAGATCCCACTGCAAGTGTTCCAGGGGAAATCTCTGTCTAGAAGAGTCATATTCTTTCCCAGCGTTTTAATAACAGTTTCCTAGGGGGAAAAAATCTTGAGTGAAGATAGAAAATCGGTTTTGGAAGTACCTCTTAAGCTGCTTTCCTCAAAATATCCACAACTCTGATTCATGGTCCTTCTCTGTCTTTGCTCTCATGATCAGAACATAAAGAAATGTTTAAATTTAAACATTTAAATTTACAACATTTAAAATTCAGACTCAAGACAAGCCACTGTGTTCTGAAAAGTGAGGCGGGATTGACAGGGTGCGTCGGGATGAGGAAAGCCAATGAAAAGGACAGATGGCGGGACTGAGCTATGCTAGAAGGAAGGATGAGGCTGGGGTGGGGGGTTGCCTGGGCCTTTAACTCACTTTGCTCACCCAGTGCTCTGTCTGAAGGTCAGTCAGCCTATGTTTGGGAACCTGGGGTTTTCTGTTTCAGGGGAGATTATCAGTGGCACTGAATCCAAGCCACACTCGCACCCCTACATGGCCTACCTGGAAATCTTCACTGGCTCCGGTAATGTTTATAACTGTGGTGGGTTTCTCATAAGTCAAGAATTTGTGGTGACAGCAGCTCATTGTAAAGGAAGGTAAGAAAACGTTGACTTGTTCTCTTTCCATGTGAGGAGGTGTAGGAATAAGAGTTAACACAACTTGCAAGTGTCCTGAGAGAGATTTTTGTGCCCCACTCATTTTGAGATGGTTAGTGGGGTATACTGGGAGGCACTAAGCCATTTTGCTGAGTCGTCTCCGTCTCAGGGCCAGGGCTTTACTATGGGCAGCCCAGGTGAACGCAGGCCCACGGTGCCCCTCCCGTCCCGCTGCCGGCAGAGCTCTCCCAATGCCGCCAAGACCTGGCCCTTCCTGAGAAGCTATGACTGCTGGGAGGAACATCTGTCCTCAGTAAGATCTGGTTCCTCTGCTGGCTCTACACTGATGAAGAGGGCCCGGTATCCCTTTGCTCAGAGTGGGCCCGTCTCAGGGAACCAGCACCTTTTCCTGACTCTCTCTTCCCTCTCAACAGAAAAATCACTGTCACCCTCGGAGTTCATAACATAAAACAAGAAGAATCCACGTGGCAGAAGATAAAAGTCAAAGAACAATTTATTCATCCGAAATACAACTCTTCCACCAATCTCAATGACATCATGTTACTGAAGGTGCCATTCTCATTCTTGGACTTTTCGATTCCTCCTTCTTAGCCCTTCTCCTGACTTGTACCTTTCTCATTCTTTCCCAACCCACTTCCTTGGGGACCACCCCAACTCCATGTCATCACCACCTCATTGGGGCAAAACTCTAGGCCCTGACCAGGGAGCCTCTACTACCCCCCACATCCCCACACACACTTTCCCTGAGACTGGCAACCATCTCCTCTTCTTCCCTCACAGCTACAAACCAAAGCCAAGCTGAACCACGCCGTGGGGACAGTCCCCCTGCCCTCCAAGTCTACCTTTATTAAACCTGGAAGACTGTGCCGGGCAATGGGCTGGGGGAGAACAGGAGTGGGAATGCCAGGGTCAGACACCCTGAGAGAGGTGAAGCTGAGGCTCATGAATGCCAAAGCCTGCGACCACTTTGGGATTTACAACCATAATTTGGAAATCTGTGTGGGTAATCCCAGGAAGAAAAGATCAGCATACAAGGTACCACATACTTACACTTCCTCCTCACCTCACTATCAGTCCCTGGAGACAGGGTCCTCCTGGGAGGAGGTAGGTCAGGAAGGTGCCCAGTACAGTGACTAGTGTCTGCATTCATGGGTTTCTAGGACTCCCCTGGGTTCCATCGTCCCACACCCAAGTCCTGCCTCTAGTCCTCCCATCTAGTCTCCATACAGGGCTCCCAGAGAGAAAGAAAATGTGGGGGGACAAGTTCTAGAGTTGTGGTTCTATCCCAAAGAGAGAAAGACAACATTAAACTTGACTCCTCACTTATGACTCCATGAAGAGTCAGTATTCCTGGCTGACTCGGGTATCTTGGGGCTAGTCAGGGTGCTGCTAGAACCAGGATGAGGTAGCAGGAGGGAGAGAAGAATGATCCCTGCTCATGATCTGCTTTCTCTGACCCACAGGGGGACTCTGGGGGCCCCCTTCTGTGTGCTGGGGTGGCCCAAGGTGTTGTGTCATATGGAAGTCCAGATGCAAAGCCTCCTCTTGTCTTCACGCGAATCTCCCCATATGTGCCCTGGATTAATAAAATCTTAGCCAACAAGTAGCTACAGAAGCCTGGCCAGCTGCAGGGAAAATCCCAAAGCCAGAGCTCTCCCTGGGTAGCCCCCAGGTTCCACAGGAGCCTGGCTCCAGCCCAAGACTAAGGAGACTCCTGGAAGCACTCAAAACCCCTGCTGATTGTATCTCCAGCAAAATTCAATAAAGATGCTGCTTCCAGCACATGTGTGTGAGCGTCTTTCTCCCCCAGAGCTGGTCTGCTCCACAGAGAGAACTGCAAATCCTCCTCCCTGGTTTGAATGAAGAATTGCACTGGGCCCTTTCTTGCCAGATTAATAGTCAAGCCTGCCAATCTCCATGTATACTGTGTGGTGTTGTGGATTATTAAAAATATTTTAAATAGGATTTAAAATCCAGAGTAATACTGGCCCTGACTGACCTTCTTTCTCCTTTTTCCCTCTTCTTCCTCTTCCTACTCTCCACCCCTCCCCTTCTCTTCTCTCTCTCTTCTTCCCTCAAACCTCGAGCCTCTGCCCCTGCAATTCAGGGCACAGATGTGCCACAGCAAACTCTCCATGACTATTTCTGAAGGTGGCCCAGGCCTGAGCTGTTAATACCTTATGTCCTTACACCAACCTCTGCCTCATGATCATCCTCCTCAATAGTGTGTCTAGTCCAGCCAGTGTGGCTCAGTGGGTGAGCACTGACCCATGCACTAAGAGGTTGCCGATTCTATTCCCGGCCAGGACACATGCCCAGGTTGTGGGCCTGATCCCCAGGTTGGGGGCATGCAGGAGGCAGCCAATCAATGTTCTCTCTCATCAATGTTTCTATCTCTCTCTCCCTCTCACTTCCTCTCTCTCTAAAATCAATAAAGGAAAAAAAATTTTAAATAGTGTGTCTATAACCATAGAAGCATCTTCCAAGGGGGAAAGAAAAAAATTCCCAAGCACAAGAACTCAGGATAATGGGGTGAAGGAGAGATGATCCTTGGAAGCCCTCAGGATGTGTTTGTCTATCACAGCAGTCTCAATGGGCTGTATTCAGGTCAGGGCCATTCTAGCTCAGGAGAGGGATCCCCAAGAGCATCAGAGGGAGCCTTATTCCTGAGCTCCCTCAGAGCCACCCAAATTCAACAGTCATCTTCCTTCAGATATCAGACAGTGTCTCCAGGTCTTCCAAAAAAAAAAGGACACATGAGTTAGGCAAAGTTCTCTAAAATTTTCTTCTCCAAATGACCTGCAATGCTCTGAAACCCATACCCACTAGCATCTGAGCTGGATGAGTACACTCACAGCTATACACACCCAAATACAAGGGAAACAGGGCATGACCTCCAGCTACCTCTGAGCCTGCAGTTAAAGGACCCCCTTACAGCCTTGGCTCAGTGGTTAGAGCGTCAGCCTGCGGTCCAGAGAGCCCCAGGTTCAGTTCCCACTAAAGGCATGTACCTCGGTTGCAGTTTGTCCCCGGCCCTAGTTGGTCCTGAGGGTGGCAGCCACTCGATGTGTCCCTTTCACATCAATGTTTTTCTCTCTCTCTCTCTCTTCCTCTCTCTCCTTCCTACTCTATCTGAACAAAAAATGGAAAAATGTCCTCAGGTGAGGATAAACAAAAAATTTTTTTAAATAAAAAAAAGGACCCCCTTACAGATCCCACCATGGTCCCTCAGAGGCCTAAGAAGATAGGCCTGGCCCCATGAAAGAAAAAGCTGCTGCTACTGTTGGTCCCAGATCAGGAACCCAACACCTCCACTTTCCCCATTGCCTGCCAGCCTACAGATCTGAGCTTCCGGCTTTGCCCATGACCAACACATGTAAAACAAATAAGAGTAAGTACAAGACTGATTATAAACTCTGACTCTATGCAAAAAAAAAAGCATTTGTGTTAAAAAAAAAAAAAAAAAAACTAGGAAGCTCTCAAAAATAAGAGAACATATGTTGGAATGATAATATAAGGATTTTTTTTTTATCCTAACTCATGTTTTATATCTGTATAATTAAATAAGAATTTTTAAATGTGAGATACGAGAGGCAGAGACACTATGTGTAACGTTTCCTTAGGAGACCAGAGCACACATTGAGCTGAAGCCAAAGCCCCATCCACTCGACCCTCAGACCCTAAGGACAGCACATCCACAGAGCAGCCCTTGTTCCCTGGAAGCTGGCAATGGAGATGTGGGGAGATGTGGGGAGAGTAGTCAGCCTGGCCTCCAAGAAATAGCAGGGCTGGTGGGGACTGTGGGGAGCTTGCCTGAGCCCACAGACAACTGGACTCCAAAAGACTGACAGGCACTGACTCCAGCACAGCCACCACAGAAGGCCAAACAAGCATCACATGCACCCTTGATGTGGAAAAAGCAGTTGGTGGCGGTCACCCAGAAAAGATAATCTCATCATCTTCGTTAAGTGCTAGTTCTGCCACGCGGAGGATAGGCCCACAGAGTGTATGCACCTAACTGGCACCAAGAGTGATAAGTCTCAGCATCACAGGGTCAGCAGGAGAAACCATCCAGATAAGAGGGCTTTGCCCAAACTCATGGGAAGAGGGCCTCAGGACAGCTGAAGGGCACACAGGGAACTAAATGCTAAATAGCCGGCTCCTGGAATCAGGGTTGTTGGAGTCCAGATCTAAAAGCCTGGCAGGAAAATATTTTCTCCTCCCACCCTATCCCAATGTCAGGACCTCCCCTGGGAACCTGGGGACTGTTCTCCTGCACCCACAGTTTCCCTGGCAAACTATTGCCCTCACATAGCCATGCACTGTGCAATGGCTTGGCATGTGAATACACTGAAGGAGTTGTTATGGGTTGTATTGTGTCCCTCCGAAAAAAACATATTGTGCTAACTCCCAGTGCTAACCTTCTTGGGAAATAGGGTCATTGCAGAATTAATTAAGATGAAGTCAAACTGGAGTGGGGTGGGACCTTAATCCAGTATGGTGTCCTCATAAGAAGGGGAGAGAGACACACACGGGGAAGGTCGTGCAATGGCAGCAGTAGAGACTGAATGATGTATCTACAGGCCAAGGACGGCCAAAGATTGCCAACTGTCACCAGAAGCAAGAGGAAAGCATGGGACAGAGTCTTCCTCACAGCTCACGGAAAGAACCAACCTGCTGACACCTTGGTCTCAGACTTCCAGTCTCCAGAATGAGAGAATAAATTTCTGTTGTTTTAAGCACCTAGTTTGTGGTACTTATTTTCTCCCTCTATCCTCTCCCCAAATATGGTTAGATAGAAGCACTACTGAACACTCCCCAAGTGATACTTGGAAGGTCGGCCCTACCCTGTACTGCTGAAACTCTACACCTCCTGTCTCATTAGTCTCACATAATTTGCCCCTTCACTCTCCCCCAACAGCCTTACCAAAGTCCTATCTGCAGTTGGGCAGTATTTTCCATTCAATAAACAAAGGCATTTCCTTGCAACCAAGAATATAGAATGTGGAGAAAAGCCTACACAGATGAGACATCCTTATAAGACCTCCACATAATAAAGCAATCCCGGTAGAAGGAGAATATCAGGTCATTCTAGAGCTACTGGAAGATAAGTCACTCCCAATCCAGGAACTACACCCTGACAGGAAGCAAGAGTGGAGACTGAGGAGCAGGATTGAGCCTACAAGCACTCACTTCACCACTGGCAGCAACCACACATTAAACACGCATCACATGAACCCCTGAAATGGAAATAACAGTTGTTGTCTCTCCCGCAGCCTACCTGGAAAAGATAAGACTATCAAGGCTACGATGCTAGTTCTGAGGTGCACAAGATGATGGCCCAAGGAGTGGGCCAAACTAACAGATATTAGAGCAGTGGAGTGGTAGCCTCACCAAGTCAACAGGAGAAACTGTGCTGTGTCAAACTAATGAGAAGGGGCACTCTAGGACTTTCCCTCATCAAATACTAGCCTGGCATAGGAACGGTAAATGGAAACTAGAAATATCAGGGGGCTTCCAGTCAAGATGGCACAGTAGGTAAACACTGTACTCACCTCCTCCCATGACCACATCAAAATGACAACTAAACTACAGAACAACCATCATTGAGACCTGACTTTAGTCTAGCTGAATAGAACTCCTATAACTAAGAAGAAAGTACACAGAGACTGGTAGGAGGGGTAGAGACACAGAATGGTCTGGTCCCACACCCATGTGTGGTGGTTAAACATCAGGAGGGATATCTCAACTGTGGAGGTTCCCCTTGAGAAGCCAGGAGTCCCAGCCCCACACCAGGCTTCCACCCCTAGGTTCCAGTGCCAGAAAGAAAAGTCTCCATAACTTTTGGCTGTGAAATCCAGCTACATTGTGGCTGAGTGAGAGGGAGGGCTCCTGGAGTCCCAGGCAGTTCCTCTTAAAGAGCCAGCACACAAACTTACTCGCTGATGGACTCACTCACTCTGTACTCCAGTGCTAGGGTGGCAGCTCAAAAGGCACCAGGGAACAAAAATAAGTTAATAAAAATTGGAGAAAAGAAAGAAAGATAGCTAAAAAGATTTTTTAAAAAAAGGGCACCAGGGATACTCAGAAAGGAACTGAATTGTCTGGCTTCAGGGTGAGGGCTGGAGGGGCAGCTTTCTCCCAGACAAAAAGTGCTGGCAGGGGCCATAGTTCTTTGCTGAGCCCTCCCACTGCAGCCACAGGCAGACGCCATATCTCAGTCTCCAACAACCTGGCTAGCATTGTCCTGCCCACCATAGTTATTCTCTGGCACCCTGCATAGTTGAACTTACAGATCCACTCAAGTCACTTCCAGTGGTTTTTCCATACAAACAGCCTTTGGCTCATGCTGTGGACTTGCCTAAAATCTCAAAGTTTCATCTAAAAAAATGGTGGCAGAGTGAATGGAAGCTACACAGACCATCTCCCAGGACCAAACTGGAATTACAACAAAAATAAAGACAAATCATCAGGAAGGGGCAACCGAAAGGCATCTTGGAGGATCACATAACCAGGGACACTGACTCAATCCTGGTAGGCTTGCAAGGACGCGAGAGGGGGCTGGGAGCCCACGGTCTGCATTGGCCTGGGCTGGACCTGCTGCGACCTCAGCTGGGACCAGCGGCCTCAGCTGGAAGCTGCACCCTCGGCTGGGTCCTGTGGCCTTGGCTGGGTCCTGTGGCCTCGGCTGGGTCCTGGGACCTCGGCTAGGTGCTACACCCTCG